GTTGTGTGGTGTGTTGTGTGTGTGTGTGTGTGTGTGCGTGTGTGGGTGTGCCACACACACACACACAATCACACAGATCTACCACACCAAACACACACACACACACACACACACACACACACACACACACACACACACACACACACACACACACACACACACACACACACGTGTAGAGTAAACAGTGAGGGTGGAGAGCAGTGTCTCAGGTGAGTCAGCACTGACTCTGCAGTCTGAGCACTAAATCAGCCGTTGAACAAAAGTTTGTTTTCAAATCAATTAGGTCTATGACTGCCTGCTGTGTTTGTAAAACTCTGCTAAAGGGCTGGGCAGCTCCCTCATGCCTAACTTCACATGTTAACTCCTTTTAACTCCTGAGGCTTCTACACAACATAAATTATTGTTTGGATAAAAATAGCAGTGACATATAGAATATGACTCATCAGGCATGGCTGGATGCTGCTGCTGCTGCTGCTTTGTGAGTAACATAAGTAAACATGCCTCAGGTTGCACGATGAATTCACTGACCACTGCAGAGAACACTTATCAACTGATATCACTTTTTATATACAGGCTTTAATTATTAACCAAACCCTTTCAAACGGTGCAAATCAGGTACATCTTGTATTAATACTAATGCTGTCAAAAATGATCGTGTTAACGGCGGTAATTAATGTTTTGAATTAACTGCGTTACAAATATTTAACGCATGCGCAGAATGGCCCGCCCCATACATCCCACCAGTGGCAGCGCTGGGGTAGGCTACAGCCATACCAAGAAATGGCTTAGCCCCACCTTGAAAAATGATATTAAAGTAAGCAAAATATAGTCTGCCAACTCGTGCTGAGTAAATTGCACAGACAGCAGTTAGAAAGATTGATTTCAGTAGCCACTTGTCTGGAAATACCAAAGACTAGAAACGTTTTTGAAAACTTTTGTCACGTAGTGATCGTCTTCTCAATAGAACATCTTTGATAATATCTTCTGGCCAATCAGAATCAAGATAACGGCGTGGTGTTGTTGCAGGAAGTCCTGACGGAGAATACTTTTGCGGTAGTGCATCTCTATATAGGCCTACATCGATACAACATTACGTGTTGATAGAAATCAACACGTAATGAAATAAGACCCCACGGTTTGATGATTGATAGGTGTGTGGGCTGTCTTTCATTTTGACACACAGAACAATGTTATAATAACGCCATACATAAATGTATGTTAAATGGATATATCGCCGCCCTTCTTCATTTATCTTTCCAATTCCCACAACAATATACATAAAGAAATGGCATAAATTTTATGAGAATAGTTCGAAATGGTGAAATTAATCATGATTATGTAATTTTTTAAAGCTGTGATTAACTGATTAAAAAATGTTAATCGTTTGAGCAGCCCCTAATTTGAATACTAATCACCCACTGTGTATATTGTATTGGCAGCGGCATTTTTTAGCTTTTAAGCTCCCCCTAATAGTTTCCATAAAGATACTTTTATTCTATATTTGTTGTTATTGTAAAATTGGAGAACTGTTAGCAAAAACTGAAATTCCGTCCCCACGATAAATAGTAGATTGGAATAACTCCATTGCTCGCATAGCAAACGTAAAAGCATGTAGTTTTTTGTACTAGAGAAGTTTTGATAATGACGCATTAAACAAAAAGCCTGTAACATCCCAATACAGTATAAAAGGAAAGAGGGAGTGCGAACACAGGACTTGGGAATCGTTTGGCAAGAGCAACACCAATATAAAACCAAAATCAACAAACGTAATAGAAAAGAACCTACATATGTTTCTTGTGAATCCCATTTCCTTTATTAGTATTACAACCGCCCTAATGTGACCTTTTCTAGCACCCCCCTTGGGCCACAAATATTTTAAATGTTGATAATTAAAAGTCCCCTAACCCGATTGATGTCAATAACCCTTGTTGGTCTCCGCTGATTGCCAAACACATCTTTCAGTCCTGTTCCTTATTATAGACACCATGCATGTTCCAAACCATTTGGTCTACCCAAACATGTTGGTCTACTATCTCGCCCTAAAATGTATTATCTCTTCGAGTTTACACAGCAGCATGGTCTATTGCGACAGTTGTCCGTCCCGGGAGAGGGGATCCTCCTCCCCTGTTGCTTCCGCCTGAGGTTTCTCCCATTTTTCCCTTTAAAAAAACTGTGGGTTTGTCGGTGGAAGATGTGAGGGTCTAAGGACGGAGGGCTGTTGTGTTGTCATAAGCCTGATATTCTGTAGGCAGATACTGTGAAGTCCAGCTGAGACAAATGTAATCATTTTGTGATAAGGGGCTATAATAGAATATTGATTGATTGAATTGATTTATTGATTTATTTATTGGTTTGATTGATGATTGACTTGATTGATTGATTGATTGATTGATCGATGCTCATGGCATGGCTGGCCACTTTCCAAGGTCATGAAAGTCCAACTAAAATAGTATGAAGAACATGAGAAAAAGTCAATAGGCTGAGGAAGGCTGTGCCGAGGAAATATTGAGTTCAGTAAAAAAGCTGGACTGTTGAACAGCGTAATCTTTTGTCCATTATACATCTTAGTTGAAGTACTCCGACTGCTAAATTTGGTCCCCCCTATTTGGACCCATTCCCAGTGGTTGTTCATTTTCAACTAAAACATAAAGCCTGGCTTAAGGCGAGGGTGTCAAAAGCTCCAATTCAACCCTCGGGGGCCACATTAGCATGCCCCGAATGGTTGCACTCCAAAAGGGCCCAGTTTTATATAAACACACTATATAAGAAAATTTTAAAAATAGAAATTTTTTAAATATTTAATATATACTAACGGATAAATAACATGTATTATACTAACATTATTGGCCCTCTGCATTGGACTTATTGATCGGCGTAGGGTAATAACTCATAATCCAACCCGCCCCCGGCCAGAATAGAAGTCCAGTCCAATATTAAACGCAAACTGTGCGGACAAGTACATTTGTTTTTTTCTCGCACGAGAAACTCCATGAAATAGTTTTTTCGAAGAAACCCATACATTTTGGTATTTGTGGAGAAGAACTAAATGTTGGGATTTTGATTATTTAAACTGTACCCAGAAAAATAAACAAAGGAAAGAGGTTACAATAGGGTTGATTTTGCAATACCTGAAACTGCACTAAATATCAAGTCTGAAACGAATTATTCGCGAACTATATTCTGGGCTGAGGTGATTTACGTTAAATTGGCCTTTTTTTTGGCCTTAACCTCCACGTTGTGCCTGCTGGTAAAGCTACATCACCGAAGGGCCCTAGCATGTAAGAGAATGCTATGGGAAATGAAGCATGAAAGATGAGGGGGAAATTAACAGATAATAAATCAACAAAAAACGCAATTGCTTCAGGCAGAAGTCAGCGAAATTCCTGTTGGCAATTTGCAGGATCAATTGTGGAAAGTGTATTTACCTATATATGTTACTTTCTAAGTTGATGCGCGCTGATATTTCTGGGAATTCTCAAACATTATGGGCCTTGCAAATTCTAAAAATGTAAATTGATATACGCAATGTTATTGCGATGATATGACTGAAATGCAAACGTGGTTCGCTTAAGATTTCAAAGCAGGGCACTCCTTTGAGCGAATATGTCATGTTATGACCTAAATGCGTGCGTTAGAATCATAAAACTTTAATGGGTTTTGGGGTGGGCAATAATTGCCAAAGGACGCGGAATGTCCGGTGCAGAAAAAAGGTGTGGGCCTGCAGCTGCAACACACCTAAACAGGCATCTCATGTTGGGCTTCTGCCTTCTCAAGAGAGATTCAACCGAGAAAACGACACCTTTAAATTTTAAAATGTTGCCGAACGGCAACAGCCCCCACGCCACGTTTTTCCGCTCATAAATAAAACAGTCAAGGACATGACATCGATACGCGTCAGCCAACCACATTCCATCCAAGTTAGCCGCAGTCCTAGCAAACACAAAAACGGAAGTAGAGGCCCCATCCCTGATTTCAAAATAAGAATGAATTTTTAGTAAAGGCATGTTTTGAAAAACCCAGCAATGCAAACCATGGTGAGAAATAAAAAAGATAAACAAAGATCTGCTTACTGGTCAATCCAAATCATGAAACCAAATCCCCAACATTGGCTAGCATATATTGATGTAAATAATAACTGACTTGATAAAGCACCAAAACAAGGACAAAACCAACGGTGTTAATCCTCCCATCTGAATTGTATGACAGCAATTACTGGCAGATAAGCATCTGTAATAGCTCATCGTAGTTAAGTACTGATTGCCCTAAAGATTATTATTCTGTTCCTCGCTAACGTATCAGATAAAAATAAAAGCAGCATGGGTATTTTATTTTTGAAATTGTTAAACGGAAGTTGTTGGTTGTTGAGATTGCTTGCACAATGTCGCTCAATAATGTGCCTTGTGATTCCCTAACTGAAGCGGCAATGCATTTGTTTGCATTGTCAAACTAAAATATTGAAAATAAAAATAAAAAAACATGTTTAATCGAAATGAGCACATTCTGGGATATTAAACAGCATAGGCTCAACGAGGAAGCATAGCTCCTCATAAGTGACTCCCATCTGGAAAGCGTTAATGATATTTCTAGCTTGAGCGCGTTAGCTGGCCACATAATTTCAGCAGTTCACCGATTTTCTAACCATGGAGTTAACAGAAAAACTGTCTCCCTTACCTTCCATCGGCATCCACAGTCCAAGCAGCAGTGCTTGTTTGCTTCCCTCCCCCTCCCAGCAGGCTGAGACAGAATGACCTGATGCTGGGCTCGTTCAGTTTCTGGGCTTTTTCTCCTCTCGCGCAAGCGTGTGTCATTTCGCCAAAGTTTGGGAGTGAGTCCCGCTTGTTTATGAGCCTGGTAAAAAACACCTCTTGGAGTCCTCAGCGCTGTGTAAACACGAACCGCGGGCCCCACATCGCCCCTTTTAGCTGGCCCTGCACCGCT